ATAAAGCGCGATTTACGATCCCAAGGTAGCTCATCGAAATTAATTTAGAGGTGGTCAGCGGTGCCGGGATGAGAAAAAACAGCAAACGGCTCAAACTCGAAAAATGGGACCCCTTCCTTGCCCGTTGATTTCCGCATTGATGCGACTCTCATCGGTACTGCCCTCTTCAACACTAACGCTCTCTCTCTCTCTGCTAAGCAATCAGAAACTTGCGGCGATCTACTGACGTGCCGCGCTGATGGCGTCGCAAGGTGGTTTACGGGTCAGGGTCAACCGTTACGTTGGACCGATATTGGAGCGACGTTGGACCGATGTTGACCGCTCTCCGCGCCGGCATTCACTCTCGCCACCCGCGAGCCGTCTGTGTCTCCGTGCGTACGTTCACTCTCGGCATTACTCTCGTCGTCGCGTTGGACTTTGTCCAACGGACGGTTGACCCTGTTACGGGTGCTTGAATATTCGTCGATGGTCCTGCCGCGAATAGCTTGGTCACGGAGCTTCTCTCTTCCAAAAATGCCAAACGGGAGCTACGTGAGCCAGGAGGAGTCAGGAGTTCAGGGCTTGGGGGGGGGGCGTGAGCCACTTCTTCATGTGGTAAAAGTTGGAACTCACAAGGTCCTTATAGTCGTAAGCCACTATTCAAGCGAGAGGGAACACATAAGAGCAGCACATTGACTTCTTTCAAGGATCGAGTTCACGACAGCTCACGATGTACTCCACAGACGGCGGGTACGGCATGCAAGATCGTCAGCGGGTATATCCTTAGCTGCGAAATGGGTACAGGGTCAACCCTGCGTTGCGCAAATTCCAAAATTTTTAAACAACCAATTACCAATTACAATTACCAGTACCCAATCTGGTCCGCATACTGAGGGGTCCACCTGCTTTCCCACTACGTGAGGTTCCCCTCCTTCGAGCTTGGTTATCGTGGAATCCCACTTTGAATATGCACTATCGAAATAGTGCTACGTCATACAAGTCAGAACATAGACAGAGTTTTATTCAAAATTAGCTCAAAGGTCACGATAAAAACTACCCTGTCAAGATTGTCATTGTCAATTCCTTATTGGAAGTATTTCAAAACAGAATCCCATCACCTCCCCACGATGAATCGATAGCTTTAATTGATTCTATTTCAAATCCATTTCCAAGCTGTATGCCAACTGCTTCCTTTTTGCTGTAGTCCGTTGGACGAATGTTATACGACACATTGGATTGCAATCGATCACAACAGCAAAATGAGACAAGTTAAATTTTATAACTATGAAATTTCAAAATTATTCACCAGTTATTTACTATGCATGATATGATTATTATAACCCACTAAATTAGTTCTTTTATACTTATCCAAAACTATTGCAATTCCTTGATGATGAATTTGTTAATGAACATAAGTATAAAACCTATTTTATGAAGTTTCGAAACGTTTTATAAGTTATCAGAGCTTCGTATTTTTTGCGATTTCGTGAGATGACCCTACTGGAAAATATGATTTGGCTTCATCGCGATCTAAATGATGGTCGGAGGTGCAAAGACACGTACTGCCACTTATTAACACGCACGCAGTGAGGGAATCAAATCGTGAACCGTAGCTGTGCAGGCTAACCAAGCTTTCCACCCTCCGGGGTCGGTTAATTGGTACCAGACTTGTCTGGGAGGACGAAAAACACTGACTTGTACATCGGCTACCCCGCAAGTCATTGTATAGGCCACATCGCATTCAAACGCTACTACGATTAGCAGTGGAAATAGAACACGTGGCGCATTCCAAGAAGGTACCGTCAACGTCACATGGCTTATCTCTTATCCTTTTATTATTTAACATAACCCTAGTTCCAGCTAGTTATCAGTACTGTGTGAGAGGAGGTTTTTCTCATAGATCGATCGAGCTGATTCATCACCACCGCTATCGATTGGAATAACTATTCACCCAGGAATAAGTTTGTAATACTCTTTATCTTCAATCCTAAAAATCAGGTTCATCAAAAAGAGTTCCGAATAAATAGGCTCTCAAGGAAATAGGGTACATGAACATATAGGCCAAGGATTGTTGCGGAAAAGTTCGCAGTGGGACGAAGCCTCGAGATTTTTGTCCTTCTGTACTAATAATTTTTATCTTGGATACTGAAGAACCATTCTCATGAAGAAGATATTCAAGTAACTACGCTCTCTATGAAATTCGGATGCTAACTCTGTTTGGGCCAGCCGTTTATTAGAGTACTCTCGGAGTCTTTGGCCGGTGAATATGTCATTAAAATTCATTGGCAACTTCAAGCACAGTAGAGAAGTAGCAAACTACGTAGATCGGTTCAAAAAGCTGTCTGTTTAGCCCGCTTTGATCCAGCGCTATGAAGGGTGGCTGCAGGAATTCTATGAGAAGTAAAATTCTCCACTAGACAAAGCGCAAACCTGACGAATCATCGGCGGCAGCTTTGGCTTCAACCTCACTGTCACTGGAACTATCAGATGAGTCTTCGGAAGAATCAGAAGAGGAAGGTTCTTGCTTCTTCTTCTTGCCCATTACAGTGAGACTTCCCCTAAAATGTATAAGCAATTCAAGCAAGTAGTAAACGCTCAGCCACGAAACGAAACTGTCACTGCGGTAATCAAGTCAATTCTAAACGATAACGAATCATCGATCATCAGAATGACGCCGGTAATGCCGTAAATATCTGAAGAGAAGCACTTTAAGAGGGCTACCCGGTGAATTTTATAGTGGAAACTGTTTAAATACGGCTTAGATAGCGGGAGGCAGGCGTGCACATATCTCTTACTTTTTACACTGCAACGTATGAGTCATACCTGATCTCATCACTGTTTGTCTTGCTAGACCACCACTTAACACCAACGGTTATTAGTCATACCTTCTGTGTTACCATTAACTCCAGTTTATGAATATTTCCATTACTTCTAGTTTCTAAATATGGAACTTTTTGATTTAGAAGAATGGGGTGTCCTATAAAAGGGTTTGAACCATTTCATGCTTAAAGGAATCTTGCGCGGAAAATTCTTGCACTCTTTCCTAACATGAATATGTCAGTTGTGATCACTGGAAATAGCACACAAAGTTTCACGCATGAAGATTCGGTTTCTGAAGAGAAACAAACGTACAAAAACTACACGTTATGGACCATCGAAGGACCAGGAGGCAGAGCCAGGCGAGGCATGGAAAGAAGACGGCGTTTGGCCGGCTACGTACCAGGCGACGCAATGAGAGAATCGGGTTAAAGCGCGCGATTTCGGAGAGTGGAGACAAATCGATCGATGGAATAGGATGGAGTAGAAGTGTAAGATGTGAATGCAACGCAGAAGGCCAGAAAGAGCTTCTAGTGAATGCACTCCAAGAACCAAGTTTGAGCATCCCCGTCGCCAGCATTCGTGAAAGACGTCCGTGGGCAATTCGAACGCGTAGCAGCCTTTTCGAGTTTTCGAATTTCTAATCAAAACGAAAGCAATACTTCAGTTCTTTTCACTATTATCGTGGATAATGAGTCTCAAGCCAGTGATTTATGGCTGAAATAGAATCATGATTTTTCCGCGCAAGATTCCTTTAAATGGGGAATAACGGAAGAAGAAGTAAAGAATACGAAGTTATTATTTGGAGCTATTTCGATTGCGGGGACTGACCGACGCGCATTTGACAGCGAAAGACTTGACCTCGACGATCTAGCATGGCTCACTCTTGGCGCGTTTAGCGAGGTACCGACTGTCTAATCAACTGCCGCAGGCCTATACTTGGCGAGTGATTAGACAGCAGAGAGCGTGAGCGAGGTGGAGAGGGCAAGTCCGGTGGAATTCCCTCAACGCTTCAGAGGGCCAAGGGAAGGGCCCATGTTCGGTTATGGTAGGTTACCGATTTCAAATGGTTTCTTTTCGAATCCCTGCCTACTTAATCGACTACACTGGTTTCCAGTGAGCTAATGTTTCGTCGTAAATTTTGCGGTTTCTATATTTAGCTTCTTCAGCATACATTTAGATTTCAGATAATTATGTGATCTAGACACACAGTGATATGTGATGTCATATTTGGCTCATATGATGAGTAATGGGGCTAAGCTGCGTACATATCGGCCCATTTACCATCTCAGACTAATCCGGGACTAACCAAGCTGTCGCTAATTCGTCTGAGTTGTTAGAAAAAGGATAAAAAGAGGGCGGAAGTGGTGTAGTGACAAGTGGCGCGCTTTACCACGCGAGCGGTCCGGGGATCAAATCCTGGTCGTGAGTCGCCCGGGCCAACAAGCCTTCCATCCCTCCGGGGTCGGTTAATTGGTACCAGACTTGTCTGGGAGGATAAAAACACTGACTTGTACATCGGCTGGCCCCCGCAAGTCATTGTATAGGCCACATCGCATTCAAACGCCACTGCGAATGTACAAATGGAAGTAGAATGCGTGCCGCATCCCAAAAGGGATTGATCAACGGCAAATGCTTTATCCTTTATCCTTTTTTTAGAAAAGCGACTGGAGATGCGCTAGAGGCGAAAACCTGTACAGAGATGCATGAGTTGTGGGCAAATACCATAGCCCCGCAAAGGCAGATTGAACTACAGGAATTGCAGTATTTAGAGGAAACTAGTGCTCGTACATAATGGTAATTAGAGTGATATTGTGGTACGTGTGTTGGTCGTTCAGACCCGCTTGCACTAGGCGGAGCAGATTGAGGAATCAGCGACACACTGATATCAGAGAGACCCATAGTCCCAGTGATGGGCCTTCGGTATGTACCCGAGTGTGGAATGGGTCTGAGGCTCTGTTGAATCCTTTGAATGTAGCACAGTAAATTAAAGATTTATTATTAGTTACTTCATATGCAGCGGAACAGAGACTCTGCATATTAAACCCGTTTAAAACAGTTGCGATTACTGCAACCGGTATTTCCGTTAGAGGTAAAACTGCTGATTAATTGCACTGGTTAAAAATCACTGGTAAAACATCCGTAAGTCGCGTAGTTGCAATTTTTGTGGCAGTTAGTGAGTTCATCACGAGATCTGGCAGGCGTTAGGTAGGGATCACAATGTCCAGCTTCTTCCTCTGAGCGATATCATTCATTACCTGCAATTGGGATGATTTACTTCATGCTACTGGAAAATAACTATTTTTTGCTTCGGTTTTCTTACCTCGTTAACCGTTCGTTTACTTGTTTCCGGACACATCCACATAAGAAACATGAAAATTGCCGTTGGGATGAAGAACACCAGTAGCGCTTGCCCATGAATCTGAAGTGTAGGAAATACGATGTTCATTAGGCAATGCTGTGTTTGCCACTTTCAATGTAAAACCTTCTGGTGCCGATACATGAGGAAAATACCTAGTGTGGTACCTATCTACTCAGAGCCATGGGTGGGGATTAGGTGCAGAGGGCCAGACCCTCTTTGGAAAAGAAAGAGTGGTCACAAGCACAGAAGCCGCGACACTGTCCCGAATCGAAAGTGCGAGGCGAAGGCGCTAAGGCTAGCGTTCCCCTCTCCTCGCATGCCCAAAAGCATAACCATAAAAGCATAGCTCACGGTTTCTGCGCAGGGGAACGTTCGACTAGAGAAATTCTACGGGATCAGCTTTCAATTTGATGCTCTCTCTGATCCTAGATTATATCCCATCGCACAACCTAGTAATTACCTGTTCAATCAGAACTTCCTTCCACCTTAAACTTTTTGACATTGAGATAGATGTTGAAGCGTAGAGGACAAGGGATTCGGCGTTAATGAACTCTTTTGGGATGCGCCACGCATTCTCCTATTCAGTGTCGTGGTGTGGCGCCACTTGTCACACACCACTTTCCGTGCGAAGAAAAGCACTAGCTCAAAAATGCTTGATGCACCTACCACATTGGCCAGGGGGTAGAAGGCGAATTCGATTCCTATCTTCGTCAGCGCTTCGAACATTGTAAGGATTGAGGTGGACTCGAGAAGAATGCTTCCGAGGCACCAATTCGGCAGCATAGAACCGTGAAAGCGATCCGATTCCACACGCGCTGATCAGAAGAACTGTGGTCAGGCCAACCAATGTCGCAATCTATAATAAATATTAAAGGTTAGTAGGCTTCCTAAAACTCAATGGACACATAACTACCGTACCCTCCAGCTTGGTCCAATATCGATTCCGACAATCATTAACCCGAGTGAAATAAAACAAACGATTGTGGATATGATAAGCAGCGGCCGTCTACCGAAACGGTCAACCAGCAGCACCGGTATAAGGGTTGTAGGCAATCGTGCAAATCCTAAATTGCAGATCATCAGTAGGAGAAAGACGGGGTTTCATGAAGTAACGGGGGCACGTGGTGCGGTGGTTCACACCGCCTGAAAAAGTCCAACTTTTCATAAGAGACGGAAGCTCCGCAGTGGGTGCAAAAACGGAAGAGAAGGTTCACGCACCCCGGGTTCACCTTCTTTTGACAGAAAATTCAAATTTTTTAAGCCGGCAGCAATGCCACACACATGTTACTATTTAGGAGGAAACGTAATATGTAATACGCCTCGCGAGGTGCGCGCAAAAGAGCAGGAAGAGAAATATTGAAATACAAAAATAATATTATTATTGTACCTATCATCAGAGATTCAAACAGCGCAGCTTTGTGCGACCAGCCAGCCATTGAATAGAGGATAAAAGTAGAGTATGCACGGATACATCTGGCACCAGTGAAGACGTATGCGATCTTGAAATCGTATGCTGTTCGACTAGAGTTCTGCTCATAAAAGAAAACGAATCACCTTGACCATCACGCCCAGCCAGGCTCCATGACGAAATAACCTGGGACAATGGATCACGTGCCTTCCATGGCATGAATAGTATAGCCATTGAGCTGTGTTCAGTTTTGATGACGCCATAATCCGCCATAAAAAACCTTTAAAGCTGATGACGCGTTACCAGCTATACTCCAGTAGTGGTCAACCGTGATATCAATTCCCACAGATCTGATTCTTGTCTCTCAACTTTGCTTTGATTGACAGTATGTTCTAAGTCGATGATGTGAGGGCGTTTGCGGTATCTCTGCAGGCGACATGATCACATAAGCCCAATCATTTAAAATTGATTGAATAAATGACACTTTGGTGGTGCGGGTGGCAAAAAAAGAGACCTTCAATCAATTCAAAATGGGATTATTTACCGCACTAAAAACGACACACCTTGACCATCACGCCCAGCCAGGCTCCATGACGAATAACCTGGGACAATGGATCGCGTGCCTTCCATGGCATGAATAGTATAGCCATTGAGCTGTGCTCAGTTTTGATGACGCCATAGTCCGCCTAAAATGCTTACGCTGATTACGTTACCCAAGTATCCTCCTGAAGGGTCAACCCTGATGATCTTTCCCACAAGCTCTGCAAAGCGCCCACATTCGGACAAGGTCGAGCCAGTTCCTTCTCTCAGACTTGGCTTGATTGCAGTAAGTTCAAGTGTGGGATGTGAGGGCCGTCTTGCGAACCTGTGCAGGCAACCACATCGACAAAACCGTTCATTATTTAGAATGCTGAATAAATAACAACTTTGTTAGGTGGTGCTTAAAGGGTCATTCAATAGAATCGAACTGCTGTTTATATGTATGTATGGTGGTAAACGCGCATCTAGGCAGTTTCTACGGCAAATGGAAGTAAGAGCCGTCTGGTGACCCAATTTCTACATGAGGTGTTATTTGCGGAATTTCCACTGAGATCTAGTTTAATGAGTTCAGGACTGCTCTTGGAAAATTGTGGTCTAGAAATTTTTGGGAAATTTCGCAATTTTTTTTATCATACCAGCGTCACATGTACTTCACCCTTCCCACGCTTTATGATTTTTTGGAGAAGAAGCTGTGCGAAGTTTGAACTCGTAAGATCATTCAAAATTTCCTGCTTTCACCTTTATCCATAGCCATTTCAATGACGTCTATGACATTAAATAAACACCGGCTCAAGGGAGAAAATCCCAAATCATTTTCCTCAGTCCACTGGGAATTCGAATGCTGCAAGTCATTTGGTAAAGTATTCCGGTAAATCCCCTGGTTAGAAGTTCTCTCATATCAAATATGTGCATGAATGGTAAAAGTTCGTTTATTCATAAGTTCATTCTTAGCGTTCCTTTTGAAATCACTAGATAAATGCGAAGTCTCACAAGTTCCGCAGCGGAGACGAAGAAGGCATGATAAAACTACTGCTTCGGATAACACTTTGTGTCATGGACGCCTTCTCGCGGAGCGGAAGGACATGAAAGTGTTGGGACTAATAAGCTCTGCATTAATAATCGCTCCGTAAGATCTTAGATATTTTTGATAAAAAAAACCACTCACTAACCTTTTATCGAGTTGTGCAAATTATCCTTTAGGTTTGTATGTGTTGGCTTGAAGGGGTCCCGACAAGAGGCCTGTCGCGACGCGAGTAGCATAGACGCAGACAGTTCAGCGGGCGAGGACGCGCGTGTTGGGC